CCCCAAAACCCCAAAACCCCAAAACCCCAAAACCCCATAAATAATAAATTATATTGATACTCAGCTCTATTCTTAGAAAGTAATGATGCTACAGAGAAAGAACAGTGTTCCAAAGCAAAACCTCAATTTATACGCTCTCATTAAGGAGAATGAAGACAGACAGTGAAAGGAGATCACAGAAAATTATACCAGCATGATGCACCCGGCGAATATTTCCAAAATGACAAGAACCAAAAGCTGAGGGAATGTTGCCAACCTCACTAAAACTTACTTCCCAGTGTTCAACAACGACAGGGATGAAAATGGTCTCAAAGTTGGTGATAACAATATCATCAGGAAGTTTTATGAATGTAAGTTATGGAAAGTCTAGTACCAGCTCAGATAATTCACCCTGTGGCACCCTTTCGTGGACAAACTCTTGGAATGTACCAAATGCTAATGAATCTACCATTATTCTTACATAGTATATAAGACCTAGTATTTGGAATCATTCAGATGCATAGATGGGCTTAAAAGCCACCGGCATTAGTATCTAGACTCGGAAGTCCTCGATGTAACAGATTCTGAAAATCTGAGAAAGATTGTCGGATTATTCCCAATAAAAATAGGAAAAGGTTTAGAATAAACTTTCTTTAATTTCTTCACTTATGTATGGATGAATTTGAAATTCGGAGACCGTCAGAATTGTTTGAATTCTTGGTTATAGTCCTCTATATCTTTAATTCTTCCAAAAGATTTTTTCTCAATGTACCTCCTATATTTTGATTCCTATTGGGAAGAATACTCTTTAGTCTTAACCATAATTCAGAAATTTTGAGGTGACCCAGAAAATTCAAAGTCGTCAAATGTGTTCTTCTAAGAGCACCTTATATCTGAGGGATTGCTCATGATATTTTTACAAAATGTCTTTCCCTGAAATATTCCTTAGCCTCAAAAAGATAGCCATTTGTCAAGTTTAGGTGAAGCCAAAATCTCCATTTTCTTATAACTAGGGATATATTTGTCTTCAAATATTTTATGAAGGAATTCTGACCAAAAATTACCAACTTGTAGCTAAGCCTAATGTATAGCAGAACTGATGGTGAACCAGAGGAAGAAGATCATACCAGAAAAGCACCCAAATGTGATAAAAGGTAATCTTTCATCAAATTGGTTCTTTTGAAAATTTGAGATTAAAAGTAATTTAGAAGTCCCAGAAGGTGAGGAATCCAAACAGACAGTAAAAATAGGCAACCATATCAGAAGTTCATACAAAATGATTACGGTAAACTTTTGCTTTGATTTATTTAGAGCCCCACCTCAGAAATTCAGAATTCTTATCCTTCAAAGGATGTCTTAAGTGAAGAATATGAAGAAGAGGAAAAAGATGATATTGACATAATGTGGATCGAAGATTCTTTCATAAAGATAAGTAGCAATGACGTCACAAATAAGAAGCAGAAGGGCACAGATGTTACTAAAAAGAGGATGAGAAAGAGAAGCTACAGTAAAGAGGATCTTCCAAGTGGTTTCAATGAGAGACTTGATACAGGAGAAATCTCTCCAGAATTTGTTGTCTCTGATGAAGAAGAGTACCAAATTCCTGACGATATTAGTAAAGAGACTATAGAAGGTAAGAATACAATTTCCATCGGACGTTCATTTACCCTTCCAAACTCTTGAAACAAACAAATGTTTAAAGGACTTAAAGTTGTAGAAAGGAAAGATACTTTCTCTCCTGTGAAAGGAAGAGGGACAACATGAAAAACCTGTTATTCTAGCAATCATCCAAGCGATTGGGATGCAGGTTCTCATATTCATCACAAAGTATCAAATATGAAAAGATCTAATGCTGATGCTGGAGTCAATAGATCCTATCTTTCAACCCATTTAATGTCAAGACTGGAGCATACAAATGAAGAAGAGGAGCTCCCTCTTAAGGAAAAGGAAAAATATGAGTTTATTATAAGATCTATGCATGACAAATGCAAAAACTTACAGAGTGAGTTGGAAAAGGAAAAGAAAAAGAATTCTTTCAAAAATAAACTTCTCGCGTCCTACCAATTTAAGCATGAACGGGTTTCGAAACAAAATATTGTCTTGACTGCTAAAGGATTGAGAGCATGCCAGGCAGTCCAGGAGTTCAATGAGCAACAAGAACTCGAGTTTATGAAGCTTAACCAACACATCACTCAATTAAGCCATGAGAATGATCATCTCAGGAAATTATTAAAAATTAACAAAGAATGTGAAGAAGAAGCTAAAGATTCTCTTCTGAGAGAAGAAGAAAATCAGCTACCACAGGAAGAATCAAGTGAGCATGACAAAAAAAAAGAGGAAGAATCAACATCTCTTTATGGGGACTCTGAGCTGAACCCTTTCAATAGAGGGAAATCAAAGCTCAAGAAAGCCAAGCCAAAGAGACTAAGAATGGGTGAAAGCTGACAGGAATTAATCAAGAATGAAATTAAGAGAACTAAGAAAGTTAAGAGGTCGAGAGCTACAAGTTTCCATTTTGGTTCTGAAACTCCTGACATTAGTGATGGTAGTTTTGAAGGGTTCGAATGGACTGAGAAAGATGAATCCAAAACTCCTTTGGATAACAAGATTACATCCAGAAAGTTCTCTTTCCATTCTGCTTCCTAAGTAATTAAAATTCTCGAAGCGTCAAGTCAAGTTAAGCTTTTCCCAAGTATTAAAATTTGGAGTAAAGCTCTTGCCAGCTCTTTCTTTCATTATATAATTTATATGGTCTAAAGATCTTTTATGAAATATCTCCTCTCAGCTTAATCTCTTGACAGTAGATGACAGTAACCCTAGCATGAGCAGCTATATCCTTTAAATAATTAAACCAGCCTCACCAGAGGAGATATTTGGCAGGATATGTTTAGGCATTTGCAAACTTTTTATAGGGTTATATCATAATTCTTTACCTTCTTATCAAAAGGGGTTTTGGGGTTTTGGGGTTTTGGGG